GTTTCTCTTACTTTTTGCTTCAAATATGCCCATATATTTCCAATGTGCATTGGGTCAGGACATTGTGCTGGATTTACCAATACCTTAATGTTATGGGGCCTTACCCATAATGGACTATTCCATACGTAATAAATACTGCGCATCAAAAGGAAGCAGGGAGTTCAGTCCGAAGTCGGGCGACCGGCTGATCGGTTGAACTCTCTGCCTTCAGGCGGGGAGGAACCAGAACGAGGCTACGCCGAAAGGGCGGTGTCTATTTCGGGGAGGTAAACTGACCCTGAACCCGTCTATATTTTTGGCCAAGCCCATGGGCTCGGAGATCCCACGTTAAACCGGCCTTGTGCCACATGATGCCCTCGTGGTGGGTGTGTGACTAAATACCGTTCAGCCTAAAGTCGGGCGACTGGCTGATCGGTTGAACTCTCTGCCTTCGGGCGTGGAGGAACCCGAATGAGGCTACGCCGAAGGGCGGAGTCTCTTTCGGGGAGGTAAACCGACCCTGAACCCGTTTATACTGGTTCAAAGGGCATATTTTTGGCCAAGCCCACGGGCTCGAAGATCCCACGTTAAACCAGATTTGTGCCACATGATGCCCTCATGGGGGCGGGGTGACTAAATACTGTTCAGTCTGAAATTTGGAGTGAAGTCCGTCAGAAGTCTGTCAGTCAGTCAGAGCGAGCGAGTCAGTCAGTCGAGTCAAAGGCAGTCCGAAACAGAGTCGAGTTCAGACAATTACCACTAAACCTGATTGCTCGTACTAACACTTTCTACTTCTCTGTATATATTCCTGTTTGTAATATATCTGTGTTATTCCATATCCGTATTCGAGTTCTTCTTTATTGGTTCTACCTTGGACTATCACCGTGGTACAAGGAACCGGACCATAACACTTAAGTTTACTGTCATCTAAGTATTTTCAAACGATTCGTGCCGTGTATTTCGTGTCAGTGTCATGTTGGAAGGTCCAGTGACGCCCTAAAGACAGCTTTCGTCCACTTTGTTTTGTATTATTTTAAAGAATATCTAAATACTTCTCTTTATACATGGCACCCTATACTCTCACTAGTTCTCCTGGTCCAGAAGCAGCAAAACATCCCCAGAACAGAATACTCCTACCACGTGCTTAATTGTAAGGAGGGAATTTTTTTGTTGGTGTCAGCTTCATTCACTTTTCGCCATACATAACGAGAAGTTTATGGAACCAAATAATTCTAGTCTGGTTTCATCTGAACATCAAACAGACTTCCAATATTTACTTCCATGTTACAGATGGTCTCTTGCATAAACTAATCTGTATTTTATATGTTTAGCCTTAAGCAATTGAGTCTTCCTTGGGCGACAAGCTCGAAGTCCTGCTCGCTGAAGGCATCTAATGACGGTCTTCTTCAATACATTCAACCCTAATGTTTTTACATCATTGACAATATCCTTAATAAGTATTCTTTGAGAATTTTCCTTTCTGTCACTCCTTAATATATTCTCAGCACAATGAGTCTCGTTGCAGTTCTTGATAATGCTACAATTGTTGAAAGTGTTATATATCCATCACCTTGTTTGTACGCATCAACTATCTTCATTCGAAGCTTCAGTCGTCTTACTAAGAAAATGTTATCGCGGTAAATGGCACTCACATTAAGTGCTTTTAGAACGTTATAGAATCAGGTCAAGTTCATTTTCAAAGGGTGTTTGTATTAAATGCCAGATTAAGAAAAAACATTACAATTGCCATAGAGCAATATTATTTCATAATTTCTATAAGTGGAAGTGGGCGAATAATTTTGGACTGCACCAATTTATAGAAACATCTATAACTATTAATATAATTGGTGGAAACTTGTAAAAATTTCATGAATTATTTAAAACTAAATACTAAAATCAACTATTTATGCTAAATTCAGTACTTGCAAATATTCACATGGAAAATATGCAAATATTAAGTGGGACGAATAATTCTGTCTACAACTGTATGTGTGTTCCCAGACCAAAGCAAACTACTAAATAAACAATCAGAACTCATCTCAAAATGCAGTCACGTAAGCAAAATTTTACTACATAAACAAAAACAAACAAAATAAATTAATTTAAATAAATAAAGTAAATTGACAAACCACGTACGCACAGATAAACACAAGAAAACGTAGTAATAACAACACAAAAAAAATAATCAATAATAAATAAACTAACAAGACTATAAATAGCTAAAAACTGCATTCGGATCCATAATTATTCCCACACAATAGCTCCTAAAATAGTTCGAAACCGTTACCGCCCACCCAAATAACCGTTAGAATTATAAAATAGACTACCCACAATGCATCACTAATCTGTATATATAAAATAGTCGAGCAAAAACATAACGCAAAATGGTAGTAAATGTTAGGCAACTCATATATATATATATATATATATATATATATATAGATAGATAGATAGATAGATAGATATGCCAGAGTAACACAAATAGTAAAATATTTGTTCAAACAGAACGTAAGTGCTCAATACAATGTTGGAAGACTAGATTTGCAGAGCTGTTTAATATTTAGGAAGGATGAAAGCTGACCAAAGCATACTACCGGGGTTTCGATCTCTACAGTTTCATCAGGTGGTTTGTTAAGCGAATCAACTACATGGAGCTCTACAACTTAAGCACTTCTGAAACCGGAAGTAGTGGGGGGGATAAATAAATTTATAACTTTAACCGGGTTCAAATAACCGCAAGCTGAACTTAAAGTGTCTGCATTTGGTCATGATCTCTGAAGTTCAGCAATTCATTGCTATTTTTATATGTTGCTATAGTCAGTTACTCTTCTTGGCATTGCTTACACGTATTTTCGACTATTATATATATATATATATATATATATATATATATATATATATATATATACGATATACAGGGTGTATCAAAAATACTTTTACAAATTTGGGATGGGTTTCTTGCAACAAAACAAGGACAAAAGTCCATATAAACATTTTCTCAAATCATTCGTTTTTTAGTTATCAAGTTTAATGAAAGTTTAGGGTAGATGGCGCTGTGTTGCCATGTAGACTAGGTTATATTTGTCATTCGTGTACATTTGAAACTAGTCTGTCTTCAAAGACTAACCTGTAAGTTAACTGAGAAGTGTTCCGTTTAACAATCGCAGGATATATCGTACGGAGGTAGATACGGCCGCGCGATATCAGATTCCGTTTCCAGAGCGAAGGTAGCCGAGTTATCGAACCTTTGCTGCTTTTTATCGTCGCGTTGCCGAGACAGGATCCGTGGCACCACAAACTATGGTTCAATGAAGACCGAGTTCCGCTGGTACACTTGACCACGAAGAAGACATTCTACAGGCTGTTCGAAAACACTTTAAAACTTCTTCAGTAAACCTAATTATTTTATATTCAAATAAAAGGTCCTTAAAATATTCCAAAACAAAAAATGGCCCCTCTTGAAAAAACAATGGATCAAAAAAAATACATTATCCCACCAATTAACTCCATCATATCTACAATCGAAAAGAATCTTAAATTTGTTATTACTACATGCAATATATATATATATATATATATATATTACATGAATACAAAAAACAGATTAGTGAAGCTATAATGATATCAATGGCGAAAATAGACCTTCGCAAACAAATTTATTAAAATTACATTAACCCACGAACCTCTAGATGAATGTTATGATTCCTGTTTTTAATTCAACTTGTATAAGGTCTTTTTTTGCTAGTACTTTCATCTGTTCATACAGACATCATCAGGCATGGAAATAGATTTGTTTTTTTTTTAATACATCCAGGTAATAGCAGGACACGAAAGATAATATATATATATATATATATATATATATATATATATATATATATATATATATGTATGTATTATTATTATTATTATTATTATTTTTATTATTATTATTAATAGAAATCTTATAAGTATAAGAAACTATACTCGTTCGGAAAACCTTCGGTGTTTGCAAATAATCAAATCAATACCAAAGCGGAAAAAAGGTATAAAAAAAAGAAAGAACAAAGAACATGTACGTTAGCCGAAAATAATCGTCCAGCATGCAAGTCCAAAGCCCAAAGAAAAAAAAACCGATACGAGTAAGCAAAATAAATAAATAAAGTGCTCAATACAGTAAGTAGAGCCGACCTAGTTAAACCTAGAGAGCCAGACAAATTTACCAAGGTTTCGCCTAAGCGGATCGTCTGCTTAGGTGAAACCTTGGTAGGTTTGTCTGGCTGTCTAGGCTTAACTATATATATATATATATATATATATATATATATATATATATAGAAGGGAAAGAGAATGTTAGGCCTTTTGGTAAGATTCTCCTGGCATCAAATATGTCTTAATGTTAGATGAAAACCTGTAAAAAAACTTACCGAAATTGTACTTTCAACCATTTTCGTTGTTTCGAATGAACTAAAGCGGACTAGCAACAGCATTAATGCCACACTGGCTATATTTCTCGATTTCATTACATGGAAACGATTAACGAGAGTCGAAAGTACCCTGTGCATCGCACAATTTTTCCACCTGACATCAAATAACTTATTCTATACCAGAAGAAACTCCTTAAAAGTCTTAACAGACATTTCCTGTACATTCTGTTTTATTGAACATATTCAAACGAATGATTGCTGTCTGAATATACTGTTTAAATCAGTCGGTTTCATGCCTCAATGTAATCTTCAGACTGAGTACGACTTCATTCCTTTGTTTAAATTTGTTATATCTATCAGAGAACCGCGTTTATAGGTATCAACAAAGCGAACATTACAAAGTGATTATTAGTTTACTCCCTCTTTATCACTTTCTTTCTCTCTCTTCCCATATATATATATATATATACCCATGTGTGTGTGTGTATTTATCTCTATATCATTCTCACTCTCTTCCTCTCACTATTGAGAGCTTTTTTCTAAACACCATTAAACAACGGCGTTTATATGCAGATTTCAGTTCATGAGAAGTGAAAAGTTGCTTAAAAGTCTAACAGGCAATGTAGTAAGTGAGAGTGAAAAATATGCAGCGAAGTACCAAAAAGTACCAAAAAGAAAAAATGCTAACAGAAAAAAAACAAACAAAAAGAACAGTCTGTTCTTTTCGTTGAAATTATGAGTTACGGTTAGAGAAAGAATTACACAAGAAAAGAAAACCAGTTTCAAAACAATCGAAGAATAGAGAAGAACGTGTTGAAAACAATGGAGGAAACTAGAAGAGAGAAAGAAAAAAAAATAGAAGACTTGTTTGAAGAAAGGAAGAAAGAGACAGGAATAAAAGCACTCGTTGACAGGAAAGGGACCATAGAGGAAAGACAAAGGAACAATGTATGTGAAAGAGAAAAAAAAAAGGAGAAAGATAAAGAAAGAAGAATGTGGCGAAAAAGATGGCGGAAGAGAGAGGAGTGAAAGAAACAGCGAAAATATCTGAGAGAACAAATGAGGGGGAGAGACTAAAAGAGAAGAAAGTGTTGATAATGGCGACAAGCTAAAGAGAATGAGAATATGCGAAATATTATTGAAAAAGAAAAGACGAAAATTGAAGAATTTACTGAAAAGAGGAGAAAGAATGAAGAGACAAGATGCTTTATCCCCTCACACGGTAAGAAAGTTAAGAATGTTTTAAAGAAATAGAAGAAAAAAGAAAACAAATGTCAGACAGAGAGAGGGAGAGAGAAGAGAGATAAAATTGAGAAGAGAGAGAGAGAAGAGAGAGAGAGAAAAAGGAGGGAGAAGAGAGAGAACAGAGAGAGAAGAGAGAAAAGAGAGAGAAGAGTGAAAAGAGAGAGAGAAGAGAGAGAGAAAGAGAGGGAAGAGAGAGAGAGAAAAAGAGAGAAAGAAAGAGAGAGAAGAGAGAGAGAAAAAAGAAAGAGAGAAAAGATAGTGAAGAGAGAAAGAGAGAGAAGAGAGAGAGAGAGAAAGAGAAGAGAGAATAGAGAGAAAGAGAGAGAGAAAAAAGAGAGAGAAGTGTGAGAGAAGAGAGAAAAGAGAGAGAAGAGAAAGAAAGAGAGAGAAGAGAGAGAGAAGAGAGAGAAAAGGGAGAAAAGAGAGAGAAGAGAGAAAAAAGAGAGGAGAGAGAGAGGGAGAAAAAAGAGAGAGAAGAGAGAGAAAAGAGAGAAAAGAGAGAAAAGAGAGAGAAAAGAGAGAGAGGGAGAAAAAGAGAGAGAAGAGAGAGAAAAGAGAGAGAGAGAGAGAGAGAAAAGAGAGAAAGAGAGAGAAGAGAGAGAGAAGAGAGAGAAAGAAAAAGAACAAATTGTAAGAAATTGAGGAAGAGAAATGAAAAAAAATATGAGAAAAATCCTGGAGAAAATCCGAATAGGAGGTGAAGATGTGACACTGAAATGTGAGATGAAAATAACAAAAATGTTGTTATAAAAGTGAAACCGAAAAATCAAATGGAGATGTGTCTTCAATCCACGGGGTGGGGGGGGGATTATTCTCACCGGCAAGCGACACATGGCCGAGTGGATTAAAGTATAAGTTAAAATACAACGGGTTCCTGTCAGTTATGAGTGAAAATTCTCATACACTGGTTCATTGGAAGAAGTAGATTAGCCAAGATGCATATGACTGGTGATTACTTACTGATACCAAACGTCCTTTGAATATGGAATGCGGAATAAAAAAAAATATCCCGAGAAGGTTACCGGATGCGAAGATAGACAACTGAAGAATGTCGGAGGTACAACATTCGAAACGTTGTGATTATAACAACGAAGATGAGCATTCAGGTCGTATAGAAAAGCGCTTCATAAGGATAATTTCTCATCTCAAAAACCCTGAAAAAAAAATGAAACAATAAAATTATTAAGAAATACTGGGAAGTTTATTACTGATATTCCATGGGACCAGAGTCAACTCAGACATTTATTTTTTTACAGGAAGGTTCACCCTTTACAAGGCCTGAGGGCCACTCGAGGTAGAAATTTACATTAGGAGGTCATTTGTGTGTATTGGAGTGGAAGATAATGGTTAACTCTAGCCTTGAACAGATTAAGATTGTAGTGATCAGGGAAACGTCTTGTTGGGAGTCGGTTCTACAGGGCAGGAGTTCACGAGAAGAAGCTGTTCGAGTGGAACTTCCTTCCCACCGATGGAATACGGAGGGAATGTGGATGGTTTACTACGATGTAAGTGTCATGGCGCGTTCTTTCTGTGAAGGCTTGACTTGGCGGGGCCAAGGAAGGTAGTTCGTCCGAGCACCTTCCGTGGAAGTAGCGATGTGTTTTTGCCTTTCTTTCTGTTTTGCTGTACTTCTTCGATTTTTTAATCAATCTTTCTATTCCACGACTCCTTTGGCCGTAGAATTATTATAATCCTTGTCATTTTGCACTTTGTTAATTCAATATTTTCACGTTTACTGCATATATCAATTGCCGTTATAATTTATTTATTATTCTGTCTTGTGGCGTGATTGCAGAGTCGACAAAATACTTATTTTGCACTTTTCCCATTGTAATTTTGTCCATTTCTTAGATTTGCTGTTGATGTGGCAGCCATGATTAATCATTCAATAAGCTTCTTTACGTAATCCTCACCACCCTTTGTATCAGGCCCGACACAGTCCTTCCAGTTCTTCCATTTTGTGGCCGCATATTTCTACTTTTGCCAGATGTACTTGCAAATTTGGCTGTCATGATCGATCTTTCATCACGCTGGTTACTAGAATCTTCAAGTTCCTTGATTAAAGAATTAGCACTTCTCGTTTCGCTTTTGTTTTTTTCTGGTAACTTTTTTTTTTGTTATAGTCTCATATGCAAACAACTAATCAATAAGATCATGTAACTTGGAGAATTTTATTGTTATTTTATATCATTAAATGTTTTTTTCTTTGTTGCTACGAGCGACTTCAGCGTCTTGTCATTTCATGTAAATCTTGTTACGGCTTGACAAATTCTTAAGCCATGACTCTCCGAAGAATCAGAATTTAACTAAGACAATTGCCTCACACACACACACACGTTAACAATCACTACTTCTCCATTACTCCAACAAAAGTCAATAATTTTACTAATTTGTATACAAGTATATATCTCATTTTATGTGACGTGTCTCTTCAGGGCGTGCGCGATGATGGCTGTCCACAAATACGTGTTTTTTGCAACTCTAAGTAATGTTTATTCCTTTACTACCCCTCCCTGTTCTCTCATCCATTTACCCAAACTCGTGAGGCAGATTATTTGAGGTTACCCTCTGCCCCCTTTGGCCTTCAATATACCCAGTGAGTATCAAATTCTCCAAGCCCTTTTTACCTCGTTATATTTCCAGAAATTTAAATTGTTTGTTTCTTATTCGGAGTAGAAGTATCATTTTTATTTAATTTAATAACCGTTAAGAATTTTCTTTGTTTCTAATGGAACTGCCTTGTTTCTTAATACTTTGTTTAGCTTTTGGAAGGCATCTTTGTCTATTCTAATGCGACTTCAGCTTTCAGTGTCACATTTTCCACCATCTGTCATAACAATTCCCAGGTGGTTAAATTCCTGTACTTGTTTGATTTTGACAGTTTTTAATTAGCATCTTGGTTTGTCCCTTTCTCTTTTTATAACTGACCATTCGTCCTTTCTTACCGCTTTCCTTAACTACCTTTCATCGTCTCTGCCATGGACACGAGGCCATTTGCGTATATTATGTTGCTGACAGGCATATGTAATGACATTATAAACAGGCCATAGTCAGAGGGTGGGCTGAAAAGTTCATAGGCAGACTATGAAGGAGTGTTGCCAGAGTTGTGAAATCTTGCATGCATCAATTTCAACTCTTCTTATTAATAATTCCATTGTTTATTCTCAGGTAAACTAACATCTGATTGTTCAAAGAAGAATTCAAAAGTAACAAGTAGCTACTTCTCTTGAAAATGGACAAAATTTGGCATTGTGGTTTTATCAAGTACCAAGAGAAAATGGGTTTAGACTCCACAGACATTCATGTTGATATGGTTACTACATTAGGGGATGAGATCTAAGCTTTATCAACAGTGCCAAAGTGGGAATGAGAATATTCTGCACAATGAACTTGGCATGACTAAGGTTTCTTATCTATGGGTCCCAGGTCTTCTGACATATGATCAGAGGCTGATCACATCAGCGGAAAATCTGATATTGTTCGAGGCAGGTCCAGCTGGTTTTCTTGAACATTTCCTAACCCAAGATGATTGTTGGGTTCATCAGTTTGATGAAAGAAGACAATCCATGCAGTGGAAACACCCCTTCTCACCTACTCCCCAAAAAGGCTATGGTCGGTTCATCTGCAGGGAAGGTGATAGCCTCAGATTTTGAAATGAGAAAGGTATTGTGTTTATTGACTTCAAAAGGGCAACACCATGAATGGAGAGTATTATGTCAAATCGGTGAACTCTGTTGTGTAAGGCTATGAAGAATAAACGCCTTGGAAAACTGACGAAAGAATCTTATGACATCAGGACAATGTTTCAATACACACGTCCTTGGTTACAATGGCTATTGTGTATGACTGTAGCTTTGAACTTGTTGATTACCCTTTATATTCTCTTGATATGATTATTCTTAGTTAACCAAATGTTGACGTCATATCTTGATATATTGATGACATTATAAAACTAACACAATGAACAGTCTTCTTTGAAGTCAGATGTCAGTTTTCACGGAAAGAAACTGCACAGTTTACATTATTCGGACTATTGTCCTCATCTTTGTCACCATATTTATTACAACGTTTCGGCCGTTGTACGCTCTGGCCTTCTTCAGGCGGCTGGAATGTCGAACTGAACCCTTTATTCAGCTCACTGGAGTAGACTGTTCTAGTTCCACGTGCCATGTCTAATGGATGTCAGTTATCAGTTATCTCCTGTTAATTCCCCTCTCCAAGTTCTCAACCGCCTTAACCATCAAACGTTGTGATAAACATGGCAACAAAGATGAGGACGATAGTCCGAACAATGTAAAGAGTGTACATAATACCTCATCTCAGAAATATAGACAAATACCAAAATCAATCAGGTATAGATAGATAGATAGATAGATAGATAGATAGATAGATAGATATTCCAACCACCTGAAGAAGGCCAGAGTGTACAACGGCCTAAACGTTGTGATAAATATGGCAACAAAGATGAGGACGATAGTCTGAACAATATAAAAAGTGTACATAATACCCCATCTCAGAAATATAGAGAGATATCAAAATCAATCAGGTAGATAGATAGATATAGATAGATAGATAGATAGATAGATAGATAGATAGATAGATATTCCAACCACCTGAAGAAGGCCGGAGCGTATAACGGCCGAATCGTTGTGATAAATATGGTAACAAAGATGAGGACAATAGTCCGAATAATCTAAATAGTGTACATAATACATCATCTCAGAAATATAGACAGAAACTACACAGTTATTAATAAGAAGAGTTGAAATTTCACAGCTCTAGCGTCACTCCTTAATAGTCAGCCTATGAACTTTTTATCCTACCCTCGTATCATAGTGGGAAACTTAGTCTTTACTTTAGCCATTTGCACCACAGTAGCGACCGCTTCAAGTTGTCTCCAAATCGATGAGTAACGAAGAAATACATATAATCCAAGCTTCTTAACAGGATTGTTATCAGGCAATTTATGTTAATAATTCTATGTACACATGGGATTTCACTTTAAATACAATCTTTTATCATATTACGTTCGAGCTGATGTGCGGTTAGATAAACACATAACCACAAGTTCGCTTCATTTTGAAAAAAAAAATTTAATTTATTTTGTTCAATTTGGGAAGTGAAGAAAATGAAGATGAAATAGCTATTTTCTTTCATTCATGTTAATCATTTGAGACTTCACGAGACCTTTGTTGCTGCCAGCGAGATTTTATCACCTTTGAAAGGCAAAAAACGATGCTTGCATGTTGTTGGATTCGATCAGTTCAAGAGAAAATAAAATGTTGAAAATGCTTTCATGATGTAGCGAGTATTACGAAAGCTGATTAAGGTGTGTTTGTGTTTGGCAAACCGACACGGAAATCTCGTGATGGGGTGGCACGCAAGTATTGTGTGTTGGCGAGATTTTAATCCTTCAAGTTTTACTAAAGACGCGTCAAGTTGCGTGTGTACGTTATGCTTCATCAACGAGAACAGATCGATGGAATAAAAAGCCATAAATAGATTTTTATTCAAACATGTTTTTTTTTATTTTATTCGATCATTAATTAAACAAAATTCGTGTTTTTAATTCGTAACTTGTTTGCCTGTTCAGACAGATATGGATATATTGTGACGGTTGTCTCAGGGTTGATCCGTTGGTCACGGCACCACATGTGACGGTTACACACCTGGCCCAGGGTCGAATCCTTTGGTTACGGCGCCAACGGTGACGTCGCTCCTCCTGGTCGCTCCTCCTGGGTCCAAGCGTGCCGCTCCAACCCCTTGGTTAGATGATCACCAGCCTCGCCTTTCCCAACTCGCTTCCAATACCTGGTTACTGAAGCAACTGTACTGATCTCCGGTCTGTCTACCCACGCTGTGTTTAGATCTTAGACAGACGGGACCAGCAGGGATTGGGGCCGATACAAGTTGAGTCCGACGGGGGTGGCAAAACACAAGTAAAAGAAAAAAAACTCACGAGACAAAAAAATTACTGATAAAAAAGGGTGACAACCTTTTATATCTAATGTCCGTTACATAAAGAAAAATTGTTCTTATTTCCCGACCCGCTTTGTGGACTATGGCACCAAGCTTCTATCACACAACCTAAGGATTTCGAATTGCCTACTCTTTAGAATTGTGTATGTCGGAGTGTGGTTTAGTTCGACACTGGGGCTAATTTCTATCGATCATTCGCAGTTGATTCTTCTCTTCGACTTGAGTTGTATTTCTTCTTCTTCGTCGACTTAGATAGAACTTCTCTTGTCTTCGACTTGGGTGGAAAGATTCTCTTGTCTTCGACTTGGGTGGAAAGGATTTCTTGCCGCAACTCAGCCGCTACTCTCTGTCGTCCGAGGTGATCTCTTCTCGCTGCCGTCCGGGGCTGAACTCTGCCGTAACTCTGCCGTAACTCTGCCACAACTCTTGGCGTCCTTCGAGCAATCTCCTTCTTCGTCTGCTTAGGCTGGAAGTTCCTCTTGTCTGAGGATTCTCTTGCCCACAAAGGGGCGAGTGAATCGGGCCTGATGCCCGCGTTCAGGCTCTATCCCTGCCCGCGGTCCAGCTGCAACTCATTTCTGTCGACTGGGGTCCTGCTTTTATTGACGCCGCAACAAACTTGGGTGGGTTTGTCGGCGTCAGGGGTTTCTCGATAATTCCAATAGCCGCATTATTTCTGTCTTCCCATTATCGCTATTGTTTTCACCCCTACTTCCTCACAGTGCCTTTGGTGGGGAGGCGCACACCCATCTTTCCCGGTCCCTCGTATGTCAGGTGACCGCTCTCGACCAATGATTCCTGATCGAGCATTTCTCCTCCTCTCCCCGTATGCCACGTGACCGTTTCCGACCAATTGTTATTGATCGAGCATCCTTTCTCCTCTTTTCGGGCGTGGTTTACATCGTTCTTGTTTTAAAAACAAAATCCAATTTTGCCCTTTTCGCACGTACGAAAAATGACAATCTTGGCTTTTTTCTCACCTGGGCTCTGTCAAAACAGCCTGCCGCTAATTAGATGTGACTTCAGGAAAGAATATTGGCGCCATCTGTGAGCTGAGACAATCGTTTTTTCACCTCTTGTTTTTGTCAGACCCGACAGCCAGAAAATCTTAATTATCTACATTGAAAATGTCCCCACTTTATTATCGTGGGTTTCCAATTCTTAATAGGTCAGGATCTGTATACAGTTCCACCGGTCACTCCCCTCAACCCAAAAGACACTTTTTCTCCGATTAAAAAATTTCGTTTCTATTGTTCTAAAAAGAAATTCCCTTTCTCCAATTTGACAATGAGTCTCTCCACGCAAAAAGTAGGCTAGGTGCTTTGACCGATATTCTTATCAATCGTCAATACACTGTCATCAAGCCTGGTTCTTTTTTCCCCTCTAAATGATTTTTCATTTCAAATAACAATTCTCTATTGTCTTTTAAAATTCGGCCAACACGCAGGCCAAGATATCTTTCTGACACCTATCTTCGCTTATGACCGGGTCATGCATCATCCATCTCTCTTTCCTTTTTTTTCCTTTCTTCCTCTTTTCTTTCCCCTTCCTTCTTCTTTCCTTAGGATCGTCTAAGTACAACTTTAGTGAATTATTTTCAACTCAATTATTTTCCGTTTAAAAAAAAATCAACAACCTGTTTAGTAAACCGAGTAAAAAAAAATTAAATCATATTTCTATGAATATTTCTAATAATGCAAGGTGCCACAATATTTCTTTAGTAGTTTCATGCATGCATACAGGACTAGATAAGAGAAGACGCTGAAGAAGTGCGATCAATACAAGATGCGATCCAAGTATAGAACATGACCAAAAATTGTGTATATTTTATTCTTTGTAGTATTGTAGGGAAAACAAAGCTCATTCAAGCCGTTCCGTAAAAGTAAAGCGCGACATAGGAAAGCTGTAATCCTGGAGGAGACAAGGGATCAATGTGTTCAATCCATAAGTCAGATTTTGAGATAAACTTATATACACTGGCATACAAAAGTTTTGGGACGGCTATATAAAATGACTAGCAGTAGAGCCCAGCGTTGCCCGGGGATATAACAGTAAGAGATAGATCAAGTATCCACCATCATAAAGACTGAAAAATAAAATTGACAAAGATTATTGTTTAAGGTTGACGGACACGCATGTCTTAATTAGTTTTTTTTTTTTTTACGAATTGGTCAAACCTAAACTCAAACAAAAACATTGTTTTCAATCGTTATGAGTCTCTACCGATTGAATAGAATTTTATTATAAACAATTGTCTTGTAAATGGAATTTTTAAAGCATCCTGAATGTAAAAATAAAGAAAAAAGTTTGCAAGACAATAAGAAACACTACCTGCCAAAAAAAAAAAGTGAATTTTTGTTTTATCGGCTGAAAAATATAGGAAATCCGCTCCCATATTTAAAGTAACCCACACACACAAACAACCCGATGTGAGTTGTCCCCCTTCCATTTTTACGATGTCTCTTAATCATGTTTTCAAATTGATTTTGTGCAAAAACAATTATATTTTTCCCATTTTTGGCACTGTTAGAACCACCACAATGTAATTTTATGTAGTCCTGTGAAGTTTTGTTGAAATCGGTTGAAAAATGTAGGAAATCCGATCCAATATATAAACGTTACAGACACACACACACACACACACACACACACACAATCTGCGTTTTATAATAAGTAAGATTATGTGACACTGTGTGACAGTGATGGAATTAAATGGTTTAATGTAAGTTTTTTTCCGGGTTATTGGTAGAAATTAAAAACAGAATTGAGGAAAGTTGAGTTGTGGCCGTCAACAAAAATGGTAGTTATGACTAGAGGCCAAAGAGCCATCTGAAATATAAATGCGGAAATATAAACAATTCAGGAGACGAAACGTAATCTGTCACTCGAAAAGGAAATTGAAATGAGAAATAACCTGTAAGGTTTGTCTGCATGATAACCCAAGGATTGTAGGGGCGGGATGACTGGTTGGGGTGCACTAGAGCAGACAAAAGAGTGGGAGATAATATTTCTTATAGAAAATCAATGATTAAAATAAGACCGCCCCTTCGCACACTCGGTTTAAAAATCAGTATTGTCAAAAAGACAGAACCTCTCTGTGGTGATGGTCTCAGATGAAATACCGAGAGAGGAGGAGAAAAGGGGAAAATTTACCTCCGCCTATTTGGAAGTAATGGTGCTTAGCATAAGTAGGATAAAGTATGAGTTATAAAGGCAGACCAGTCAAATCCATGCCAGTCTTGCGCCGGACTCGATATAAGCAGATCGCGTTGGCGACTCAGGCAGAGTTAAAGAGAAACGAGACGAGCGGCGAAGAGTGGACGACCTGCTACCAAAACCCCGCGTGACCTGTTGCCGAGAGAATTCGCGAATTTGAAACCTGTTCAAGATTTAGAAGAGCAAAGTGTCACAATAGAAAATTAAGAGGGAATTATTGATTTTTTTTTTACCAGAAACTATATAAACCAATTTAAAACTAACCCGACGACTCTTCTGTTGTTATTTCGTCTACGAGAACATTTTTACTTCTTTCGTAATACAGCTTCGTCGTGGCTCGAACCAGCGCTCCGAATTACAGACGACATTCGGTCTTCACTGCTCTGAAGTCAAAGTGTAGATCGAGATGGCCGGCGATCAGCAACCAGTTGACCGACGACGTTACTGACCAGCGTAGGGTTGACGATGTGATTGTCGTCGTACAACCCTGAGGACAGGACCACATGTGTGGTTACATCTTCTGGCATAGGAGGCGTGTGGCAGTGGCCATACTATCTGGCTGATTTAACCCAAGATCGACCGGAGTGTGCGTGTTATTGTTATATACATTTATCTTTCTAAGAAGTTAAGATTGCTTAGCTATATGCTTTTATCCGAAGTGTCTGTGAACCTTACTGATTGGAAAATAAACTGTTGCGTTTTCATGGGTGCCGGATAATAGAAGATACATCACTTTAAGCAGCTTGAAGCTGAAAAAATCCATGCAAAACTATTAGGCCAAGGAAATATCCAAGATGATGTAGTTGTTATAATATGAAAATTTCCAAGTAATTGTCTCATCTTATTGATATGAGTGTAAGGTGCCTTGACAAATCATTGTAGTTGAACATTAGCTTCCTATTTTACACTAAGATCATGGCTGAAATTTCTGATGAAGCAAACATGAAGCTTGTGACTTTGAAGGGGAAGATGAATCACCGAGAAAGAGAGAGAAGAGAGAGAGAGAAGAGAGAGAGAAAAAAGAGAGAGAAGAGAGAGAAAGAGAGAGAAGAGAGAGAAAGAGAAAAAGAGAGACAGAGAGAAAAGTGAGAATAGAGAGAGAAAAAAGAAAGAGAAAAAGAAAGAGAGAAAAGTGAGAATAGAGAGAGAAAAAAGAAAGAGAAGAGAGAGAAAAAAGAGAGAAGAGAGAGAGAAAAAGAGATAGAAGAGAGAAAGAAAAGAGAGAATAGAGAGAGAAGAGAAAGAAGAGAGAGAGAGCAAAGAGAGAGAATAGAGAGAGAAAAAGAGAGAGAAGAGAGAGAAAAAGAGAGAGAAGTGAGAGAGACAGACAGACAAAGAGAGAGAGAGAGAGAGACAGGCGGCTGGGAATTACCAGAAACCATCCTCAAAACTTTTGCGACTAGTTTTTTTGCAAAAAAATAAATAAAAAACCATAACAGACAAGAGAGATGGAAGAGTGAAAGAGTTTCTGTAGGTCAGATGACTTTATTTTCTTGTTATTATCACAACTATTGTAACACAAAATATTTGAAACAACAAAATATAACAAAACACAGTTAAATATATTTTAAAACACAACAATATTCGTTTTTATTCCCACCGACCAGGATACAGAAGGATGCCTTGGATAAATAAATAATTCACTATCTACAAGTAGTGTATTGTCCAGCAGCCATGTTGTTTCATACTACACCTTTTTCCGTGAAGAGTCCATCATCCGTTAGGGGAGAGTTATCTCCCCTAACAACAACGTTTCGTCCGCTGTGTCCATCGATATTCTTCAGATGTCTGTCGATCCGGCTAAGATTTCAATAGCATTTGAATGTCTCTCATGTCTCAAAATTTCATATGGACATCAATACATTAACATATATATTCAATAAGACAGTTAAAGATTTGATTAATTTGTTTTTAAGGCTTAACAGCCGTTTTACAAATTATTCTACTAATTAACCCATAGCTACGGAGATTAGGTTGATCCATACATTTCCTAGGGGTATTTGCACATAAGTGAATATAATAAATCCGACTGGAATTAGAGCTCGGCTCACCGATTTCCCTTTACGAGCCAGTATCTATTACACCAGCCGCACATCCAAACTTAAAGCACCTCTCACCCCATGTAGTCACCCATGTTGGTACGGACCACGCTCGACGTTGCCCAGCTTCAATGAATGCCTGTGAACCAAACATGATATAACCGTAAGCCTATGTCAATATTTTTTTTTTATCAATATGGTATCTCATTAACTATCGATGGCAGTGGTGTTATTTAAACGAGAAATTATCCGTGTTGGGGAGGTGTTCATTGTTGAAAGGTGAAATCAGCAATCATTGAAACCACTCCTTTGTAATTTTCATGTCATGAAATATTTGCCTAATAAAAAGAGACAGTGCTTAATAAAAAAGTATCTGATGTTCGATTTTCCCTCATTACTGGTATTGTGTAACCTAGTATTATTTGTTCCATGTTATCTGAAGAATGAGTTGCCACTGTCAAGTAAGTTCCTTTAACATCGAAGTCCATGATTGACACAGCATGAACCTTCTGGCGGGCATGGTCATGGGACCACCAACATTACCAGCAAAAACAACAAGAAAAACCTTTCTGAGGATTAATGCATTCGGTTTTCATTTAATTTACCACTGATATTTTAGAGAAAGGTTTAGATGATGGGTTAATGAAGCGTGTAAGAAGTTCTCGAATCAGAAAAATATAATAGAATTAAACGAAAAACCTCTTTTTTCTGTAGGGACAATGTACAGCTTATTAAATCTATGATCCCTAGGCCGTAAACGAATCACGAAGAAATTCAAGTTTATATTAAATACCGGATCGATGCTTCGGGGACACCTGTTTTTCTCAAATAGCTAGCTATCTTATTTGTTGCTGAAACTGAAGCCATTATTTCTAATGCTTTAGTTTTGCATGTCTGTGAATAATTTATGACTGTTGGCTGTTGTTCTATCCGAGGTGCATGCTAACGCCGACCATTAATTACAGCCTGATTTTACTACCAGCCACCCCCCCTCAGTGAAATAAATGATATCGTTTAAAGTGTCGTAGACACGATATACTACTTTGAATTTGGCCATTTCCATGGGAACAAAAAGCTTGTTGTTACTAAACGTAACTTAGGTTGGCACAAGACCAAAGGTGTACGACAACCAGTGTGGATCGATCTTGAAACGCTTCTTCCAGGAAGAATATATCTCAAATTGAATGGGAATGAACGCTTTGGCACGAAAAACGATAATTTGTAAGAACAAAACGAAGAAAAATTGGGAATTGCGCTACTGAGGTTTCCTCTTGATTCTTTCATTCCTTCTCAGAAATACCAGGTGAAACCTCAAAATTTCTCCATGTTTCACACTAGCATTCTCTACCACTATAGCCTACAGGAATCACTATTTCCGTCTATATCAGCATGACAGCTCCGATCACAACAGAGGCTTATTTGTGGATGAATGTAATAAATGTAGACATGTCTCCGAAGTAGCTAGTTTTCTGTTTGCTGAGAAAATTAGGCATCGCATTGCATCTAACAACTTTGGCTCTTGTGATTGTTAGTGGCTCTGTAATAGTGCATTTAATAAGAATAATTTTTGTATTTTTTCTCTCTTCAATCAATTTGAGGTGTTAACATCTTCTGCTGATACCGCTAAATGTTTCGTCCGTAAATTCTCCTTAAACTCTACTCTTGTCTCATCTGGGTTATCCTTGCCTAATCTTCCACTTAGAACTGAGTCTCTGTTGAGTGATATGCATATAACACCTCCTATCGTTTCTGGTATCATTTATGACCTAGCTTCCCATAAAGCATGTTGACCTGATGGTATCCCTGTAATATTCCTTAAGATGTGCATTCCCGAACTGGCTCCTGTTCTCTCTAAACTGTATAATAAATGCCTCGCTTCACCTTGCTTTTCTGCCTGCTGGAAACCCCCATCTGTTGTTCCAGTTTTTCAGAACCTTGGTGAACCGTCCGACCTTTCCAACTATCGAACTTCTACCTCTTTTGGGGGGAAATTCTAGAGGAACTAATCAATGCTGAATTGATTAAGAATCTCTCATCTCAGAGCCTTTTTTTTCTGACAAGCAATATGGCTTTTGTTTCCCCAGGTCAACTGCTGATGTACTGACGATAATCGCAGAAAGAATCTATCAATATCTAGATAAGAATGGTGAAGCTCGGGCTGTAAGTGAACATCTCGAAAGATTTCGACTGGGTTTAGGTATACAGGTCTTTATTACAAGTTTAATTGTTTCCAGATAAATTTTTGAACTGATCCAGTCTTTAATATCAAATCGCGAAATGAAAGTCATCCTGAACGGCCACTCTTCTAGATCCTTTCGCACTAATGCAGGTATTTCCCAGGGCTATATCCTTGGTCCTACTTTGTCTTTAATTTCCATTAACAGCATTCTCGATGACATCAGCTAGCAACTTGGTATCTATGCTGATGACACAACCATTTGAGCTTGTCTCGATAGTAAGTTTGATTTGTTCAATGAGGTCAAATTAGCGGCTGATGTCAAAATCGACATTCAGTCTGTTGTTAACTGGGGCAAAGGATGGATTGTCAAATTTAACGCCTCCAACGCAAAGCTCCTATCTGGTAGTCATCTGAGAGAACCGTTTCTGCCTTCCATGAACCCGGCTGTTGCTACCCGCCTGGAGAGGGACTCATTGCGCCTGCTCTTGCTAACGTTTTCGGCTGACATGAAATAGAAAGACTATATTGAATTCATTGTGAGGTCAGGTGTTAAGAGATTTGGTTCACTGTGTCGTTCTAAACAATTTCTATCTCCAGAATATATCTTACATATCTATGTCTATCATTTGTACATGCTTAGAACATTGATTCCATATATGGCCCAGTGCTCCTGATATTTATCTATAGAACTTCTTGATAAAATTCAAAAGATCAGCAATATTACTGGTCCTGATCTGGTGGCTCGCCTTCAGTCATTTTTCTACCGCAGCAAGGTTGCCTCTCTGTGCTTTTTCTATAAGTACTTTCCGGATAATTGTTCGGATGAACTCTTCGCCGGGGTACCTGGACTATTTGAATTTAAACACAGTGCTGGACTGGGGACGAGATCTCATCAATTTACAGTTGAATTTGCTAGATGTAACCGCATGTTCTATGCTAACAGTTTCTTTTCCCGCACTTCTTGCTTGTGGAACTCCCAGTCAACTTTAATGTTTTAAAATTTAAATGCAATGTCAATCGCTATCAGCTGTCCCCTTGATTACTCTTTTCTCTTTCCACTCATTATTAATGTTTCTCTTCTTAATTTCTCCACAACCTGCAATCCCTTGTGTCTTAGTGGCTTTACTGCAATACTTGGGGTAAACATGATTAAAAGAAAGAAAAAAGTACACAAGAATGCGCTTTTAATTTATCGATGAAAAAATCGTTCTTGATTGCCATTGTTGCTTCCATATTGACGTCATTATCAGTCGCAATTAGCTTGATACTCAAAGTAATTTATATAAAGGTATATGATTAAGAATATAAAAGCGGACTAAAGTACATATGCCTTTTGTATTTGTTGAAATATATGTGGGAAAACGGTTTATAATTTTTTATATATTAAAAAACAATTTAAGGGGAAAGATGTATGACAAAGTGGAAAATGTTTTTGTGTGACGCGTTTCATTCTTTAGGACTTCATCTGACTAATTTTATGCTTGCGCTGATGCGACTACACATGTGCACGAACAGGAGACTTTTGGAATTTCAAATTTGAATATTTTTTTTTGGAAATGTTTTGCGTATATTTATCCGATTTCATTTACCTTTCTTTTTCTTTTTGTTTGTGCTTCCATCACTTTTGTTATTAAATATCTCACATTGTGATAATATACGATCTGCAAAAAATGGTGAAACTTTGTCAGAACCCGGTTTCAAATTTACTGTGGATGATCTAGCGATTAAAGCACTTTCTATACATTTTCATCTTAGTGAATGTTTTCTTTTTTAATTAAAGTATCACTTTTAATATAAAATTGTCTGTATATATATATATATATATATATATATATATATATATATATATATATATATATATATATAATAAAGAGAAAAAACAGTAAGTTATATAATCCGGCGTTCTTATTAATATTTTTATTTTTAAAAAATAGTGCCCAATGCAAATTTTACAGAACATAAATATTATGAATTTATTAATTTAAAAATATGGTTCCATTCCTACACAGGAATTACCATGTTTCAAAAACAGAAACGAAATACTTTAAATTCAATTATAGAATTAAATTAACGTTCCTAGTCCAGTTTCATTTTCAAGCGAATTTTGGAATAACTTATTTTGAAATTTATTGAGTTTTATAAGCACATACATTCATAATATTAGATTCTAAGGATTCGGGGAAATCCAATCATTTTAACAAGGGGTGGTAGGGTATTCATTTTCACTGATAACTATTGTTGTGGCACCATGCATCCAGGCAGAGAAAGAAAAGCAGAAAGGGAAAAGAAAGAAAAGAAGAAAGGAAGGGAAAAGTGAGGCGAGATCCGAATCATAGGTGATAAGCGAACACACACACGGCTAAGAGGCAATAAAAAAAAGGGTTATTTTGATAAGTGGCAAATGGCGAAAGGGTGTCATTACAATGACAATAAGATTTGAGTGAGTAGGGAAGTGTTATCTAAGGATATGAAAACAAACTATTGGTACGGGAAGGCATCTTATTATCAACACAGACCACCGGCCAAGGGAAAAATTCAAGTGAAAATGTCATTTCGATAAGTGACGAAAAGAAACAGGCGACTAAAAAAGACTTTGGACAGATATGAAAATTAAAGGCCACCTACGAGTAATCATTGACCGATTTTCCTACTTGGCCTGCGCGAATGGAATTGTGTTATCAAGAAATGTTCGCCAAAGAAAGTCCACTTGAAAACGTTAATTTTGATAATTGACAAAACACAGGTGTAGCTACAGAGCCTTAGTTAGATATGGAAAATTAAAATCCCACACAAGCAGTCTCGCTAACTAAATTCTTTTCGACAAAACAACTTTTGCCTGCGATAATAAATTTATGTTATCAGGAATATGTGCCGAAGGAAAATGGGTGGGGACCCAGGGGTGTTTTTCTTTCTTTCTTGGAGACGTCAGACTGACTGAAAACTTGGGGATAATTCTTTTTTGAGGCCATGTTAAGAATACCAACCACCTTGATAAATTAGCGATAAAATACCTGACGTAAGCCACGTGTAGAACAAGAATTATGACACCATTGTTCATATTTTCCCGTTGGTGGCCAGAGAAATGATACGG